CCAGCTCGTGACATCCAAGCGTGGGAATACGTCCCACTTGGCCCATTCCTTGGCAAATCCTTCGGCACCACAATCTCACCGTGGGTTGTGTCTATGGAAGCTCTGCGGCCATTTATGGTCCCTAACCCAGAGCAGGTACCTATCTCATTATTTTATTCCATCCCAGTCAACAAATTCTAATTAAGGATCCTGCGCCGTTGAGTTATTTAGCTCACTCTGATCCCTACACTGTGGACATCAATCTGGGAGTCACAATCAAACCAGAAGGAGGGACTGAGCATTCAGTTTGCAAAACTAGTTTCAAGGTAAAAACCATATATTCCGAAAAAAGGTGGAAATCTCAAGAAGGCCTTTCAAGCGCAATTTATGATTAATTAATTTCATAAAAATCTTCCGCCTGAAAATACCTTAAAAGTATTTAGAAACATCTAAAAAATATCATTTTGTACAGTATATCTTCGTCATGTGTAATGAATGTAGTAGTTTTACGTATTTGAAAATTTTGAGACAAAATCTTATAGTTACAAGATAAAATCGACGAAGTTTACAGCTATTTGTACAAACGTACGTTCACTACATATTTATAAACAAAATACAAAGTCGTCAAGCTATGAACCAAAAACCAAAACCATGAAGCAACGATAAATTAATCAATTATAGCAAAAAATATTTTTGGTGCCAAAAATCGTAAGGATCCCATTTGAGTTATTTCTTTATGATCTGGTATCGCAAAGCATTACCAGGAAGGAAAATTATTATTAGACTCTTGACTTTTTCGCTTAATAATTTTTTTCTATCGAAATGAACGAATGTGGAAAAGCAAATTTTACGAGTGTGCAAAATTAGTGCAAATCAACCTAATTGAATTTGCTGAATAGGGCCAAAATATTAATATATGTCAAGTATTTGTTACAATATTATATCACATGTAAAAAGTGGTGGCGGTTAATTCTATTATTCTGCTCATTTATTCTTTTAGATTTTAAGTTTGGAATGCAGTATTAGTGTAGCTATTTCCAGCACCTTTACTGGACTCTGAAACAACAACTCGCTCATCATACGGTAAACGGATGCAACGTAAACCCTGGTGATCTGATGGGATCTGGGACTGTGTCAGGACCCGTAAGTGCTTTACTATATTGGGGAGTGGCACAAACAAGTCAGAAAAATTAGGCCAAAATTTAGTGCAGCTTAGACCCGTTTTCCGAAACTTTTTGTCCACAACCCAATAAATCAAGGAAATTTTCACATTCTTTGAGACCGTATTCTTCAGGAAGAAGGTGCATATGGTTCAATGCTTGAGCTTTCGTGGAGGGGAGCCAAAACAGTCGCTGTTGGAGATCAGACTAGGAAGTTTTTGCAGGACGGAGACGAGGTAAACATTTTCGTTGGTGTCCTCTTTTTGAAAAGGATAACAGAGGCAAATAGGCTAATCCGAAGTAGACTTCAGATTATGGTCTTTCATAACACTTATGAGAAAGATTAAAGGTTATCTCAGTTCGAGTGTCATAGCTGTAGCGGGCTTCCCGCGACGGTCTCTCATAGGAGGGCTTCTGAGGGTGGGAAAATGAACAGAGGGTACTTTCGCATGCGGCGCAAGGCTCTGCGAGGCGGCCGCGATATGAGCCGCAAGAGCTGTGA